TAGAATAGGAAATTAAAAATAAGAAGAGATGGGGTAGGGAAGCAAAACGTTAAATTCAGCTCAAACGCAATATCAAGAGAAGTGTTGACGTCCGATATTAACTGAAGACTTTTTTATCCCAATGACTTTCAAGCAGTGAAACTTCATCAAGGCAAAGCAACAAATTGTACTTCGGAAACTGCATTCCTTGAAAGACCGAAGTCTGATACAGGTATTGCTTTGAAATTCTACGAAAAGCCCCTCTACATTGGAAATCGCGATGCAGAATTATAGCCTAGAAAAACGGCTATCAACTATATATTTAAAAAAAGAACTTTACATTTTAAACATTATTTAAAAGGTCCTGAACTCGTTCTAATAATGCGTAAACAGATGCTTTAGCAATTATATTCATGGCTTAATTTAAATGACCGGCATTATTAGTTATTCAGTTTTTGAAGGAGATTTTAATTTCTGCTGGAGTCAAATAAAATATGCCTCGTTAGTTGGTTTTGAAATTTAATTTTAATTAAAATTAAATTAAACATTTTAATATTAATGCAATATTTTTTAGCAAGATGTAAAAGCGACATTGTGCCTCGTTTCCGCAGAAAAAACAATGTGCCAAGGAAACTTGGCTGCTCTTACGTGTTAATGCATTCTGTTTAAGAGGAGGAAGATTTATGGTCTATGTCCCTCCGGTTACAAATAATTCAAATGGATTAGAAGGCAAAAATGCAACATTATCTGATTACAAAGAAAACTGTTCAAAATATTTCCTAGCTTTTAAATATCAGTACATTATCTTTGTTTCATTAACTTACTCAATTTTCATTTGTTTCATTATATCATTTAATTTTTACGGTAAGTTACTTTAATTCAATTTATGATTTATATAATTTACTAGTTTTTTATCTCTAATTTTATTTATGTTTCATTAAGTAATGTTTAATTAATTTATTTTTATTCACTTTTCTTAGCGGCCTTCAATGAAATCCCTGTATTTATTACTACCTTTAGAAACTAAGCCTTAAGCCCCGGACTTAGTTGAAGCTAGTTGGTATAGTAATTAGTGAGATTGGAAGTAAACTCCTTTAGATACACGAATAGATAAAATTTGTAGCGGTTCTAGTATTTAAGAATTATACAGTAAACCCTCATTTACCCGAATCTCTCAAGGATGGAGCAAACTGCTATGTTTGGAATAATTGTTTCTACACATTAACCATGTACAGTATATAGCACATAATACTGCAATATATTATGTATGTCGTCATAGAAAACACTACAGTGCTACATTAACTATTGTACTGTAACTTGAAACACTGCACCCACAAATCACCAACTTTATGGGAGGTCGATTCGGATGATGTAGCAAAACGTTCTGCAGTGTCCAAGGCGTTCCTGGTCGGTAGGCGAATAGATATTGTCCTCCTCACTTTCTGCGAAGACATTTGTTGCACCTCAGACACAGTTGCTTGTACATCAGATTCTGCTGAAACAAAACATAAATCATAAGCATTTTAATATTAATGCAATATTTTTAGCAAGATGTAAAAGTGACATTGTGCCTCGTTCACACACCGCAATGTTGTCACCTGCGCCAACGAATGCCTTAAAACGCAACACTGACGCAATGATCGCGATTGTCGAGCTACGTTACTAATCCTGTTTATGTTTTAAAGAATACAATGTATTCTGAGTGTTTTTCAGTTGGACACAAAATTTGTGAACTCAGTCTAAACAAAAAAGTAACAGGTAAAAAATCAATTAAATACTGAGAAAGATAAACTATGCAAGTTCATGTTAAATGATAAAGATCTAACGACGCAACGGACTAAATAAACAGTTCGTACTTACTGCTAACAAAATTCGCGTTGCGTTCACCGATAAAACTTCTTATAAAATCATCTTTATCGCTGCCGGAATCATAATTTTGTCCATGTTGATCCAGCATTCGCCTTGAAGGAGTTCGTGATAAGGGGGTTTACTGAGTATAAATAATTAAATTCTGTCAAAAAGTTTACTGTACATATAAATCCAATTATATTAACTCCTTAATACTACTTATTATTATTATTAACACAATAATGCCGCCCAGTGGGTATAGTGTTTAGTGACTCTAACTGCCGTAGTGGTGGGCCTGGGTTCGAATCCTGGAGAAGGCAAAGTTGTAACTGTCCGTCCCTTCATAGAAAGCAACGGTGGCCACGTATTAGGCGCTTCTATAATCAAATGGCCACCACGTCCGGCGCTTGTAATGGCGCGAGGCTAATAGCTATTAAATAAAGCGCGCGGACATAAAGAAAAATTAATACATTAATTCTTGTTATATAAACTAACTGCTTGCACAGCCAGTCTAAAGCTTTATTATTGACAAAAGCAAATACTTAATGATTTTAATGAATGGAGCTGGCGCAATTTCACGGTGTCTAGCTAGCGTCATTTTATAAAAATATTTAATGCTTTTAACAACATATTAAAAGAATTGCTTTTCGGATTACACTAGTCTTTACATTCCAATAATTTTAGTCTTCAGATGCAATAGATATTATACAACGAGCTTTAGTTAAAAATTACAGCTCACTGTATAATTTCTTTAACAAGACAACTAGTTTTAATTAAGCTCCGAGCGGGGTTGAAAAAAAAAAAAAAAAGATTTCAAAGCATTGCATTTTTCAGTGCATTGCATTGTTAATCAATTAAATATGTAGAAGGAAATAAGCATATGTCCTTCGCTGAGATCTTCTTAACTATATTTATAATATTTTGGGTATATTTATACTAACTACTCGTATGTTTATGTTATTTTCCATTATTTATTGGCAGTACGGAAATTAGCTTAATTATCGAATGTTTCACTTTACTTTGTTTTGATTTTATTGAAGAATTTGAGGATAGGGAGCACAATGGATATTTTGTTGTGATCATTATATTTATTACTTTCGTAGTAAATTTCCTTTTGTCTCTCTTTACATGTATAGAGAATCTTTCCCAAAAAACCTACAAGGTATAGGATAGATTGAATGGATTAAACATAGTGAATATAGAAGAATTTCGGTATGAATTATTAGCACAGGTCCAGATAGGCAAAACAGTTGCAAGTGAATTCTTAAAACTGCTATATATAACTTTTAACGTGACTTTGCTTTAAATAGTGTAAAAGGGCATAAAAACACGAAAAAAAGGATTCTGTATAAATTACATATCATAGCATCAGAAAAATCTTTTATAAATTGCAAAACATCTGCATGCTCATAAAAATTATTAATTAGTTATATCATGAATTAAATGCTTTTTATTTAAGTTAATCGTATTGAAAATTTAAAAAAAAATCTATCGCTTATGTTGTTTAAATCGCTTATAATGGTAATAATTAAAGTACAGAATAAATTTGAAAGATAAATTAAATAGCTTACGCTTTGGCGACTGGCGCATGGAAAAGAAAAGTATTTTATGTCGAGTAGTGGCAACATATTGATTTTAAATAGTAGAATTCAATGGTTAAATTTGAAACTTTGCAGAATGACAGCATTCTGATGCTTGAAAGATAAAAATTTTTCTTTTGAGTAGTGGCAAGATAGTGCTTTTTAATTGCTAAATTTGTTGTTCTGCATATGAAAAGAAAACCTCTTATAGGAAAAAGAAGGTTCTACTTTTAACGAAGATTGACTTACGTAGATTGAAGGTTCTTACCCACAAAGTAGAACTCTGGAAACCTCATACAGACAATACATCCAGTATCTAAGAAAACATTTGGAGTTATAACTTCTGTGGTGTGAAATAACATATTTTTACAATCTAAGGATTAGACTCAGAACGTTTGTTGTGTACACAGTTTGGCAGTCTTGTACCCCTGATATTGTTTAACTACAAGCACAATACACAATTCAGGTGTAAAATTTAAACAGAATTCTATGATCTACAAATGGTGAGTTTTTCAAAACTGAAAATATTAATAATAAGTTAATGCATATTCTTCTCTTACAAACCTTACAAAACAGGCAGCTCGCCTTGATGTTAAGATTCCGATATTTTTCCAATAGTAGACTACATGTCAAACCTACAAACACCCTGAAATGTGACGGGTGTAACTAACTTCTTATACAACTTACTGAGCGCTGCCAACATCGACCAGTACCTCCTTAACAATCACAGCAATTATCCTATGCAAACTCCATTGGGCTCACTGTTAAAAATAACATCTTATTTTTAAACTACGCTGCTTGCCATTCAGTTTGCATAAAGGATTTACTGAAATTTATAATATTTACTCATAAATTAAGTTTTTTTTTTTAAACTTCAAGAAACTAACAAAACGTTTTGGCTAAAGTCGTGAAATATTAGCCGTTCAGCCGTCACAGACTGAACCGCTAATTTTTTACGACTTTAGCCAAAACTTTTCGGAATATTCTATATTTTGTGGGGCAATGAATATTTCATAATTGATTAATTGTTTTGTTGTAAAGCGTTAAAAATAGAATGCGCTATTAGATGACGACTGAATGAACCGGTGAAATCACTTATCTAACTTTATAGATTAAAAAGAATCTTATTTACAATCTACACAAAAGAAGTTACAGAGTTTCCTGCATTAAAATAGTACATAATACTCGTAAAGATTCCAGTTATATGAAACAGAGTTTGAAATACTGGAATGTTGTCCGAATCATATGAAATCGTTTGGCATATAACATAGGACGCAACTGGAGATAATCGAAATTTATTGTATTTCCACTTGAAAACTTGTTGGGAATTCAAATGCAGATACGAAATGACATATAAAATACATACATCAAATGCCAAACATTTCAGTACAGAGCATAACGAAGTATATTATTTGCTTTTCCTAACTCAGGATGCCTTGAATTCCAACCAGTTAGCTCTTAGGCGTGCTACCAGAGGTCTCTGTTGCAGTCAAAAGCTCTCAGATATCTCTTGAGGAAAAGCACCTGCTCCCAATTTCTATATGATTAGAGTGCTTCTTGTTAGATGGAGTAGGCGAGTAAACATCGTATTTATTTCATACGTCAACAGACGGTTCTTATAATATTTCTTTTAAAGGTGCATACTCGGAATATTTAAGTAAGTAAATTTTTTTTTTATGCAAGAGCTCAGGCAATGAAGAATGGCTTGTGGAAAAACTGGTCTGCTGAAAAATATCCCGTTGTAGCGAATGGTATTTCAGTTTATCTTAATTAAAGCTTATTTTTGTGCGTGAAGATTATTTTTGCTAGTATGAAAATACATCTTCGAGAAACAGGGAGGATTTTTTCATTATAACCACAGCAGTTATCAAATTTATGAATGTAACTTCTGCAGAATTTTTCTAAAAATGTTTTTTTTTTTTTCCAATTTTATTACTTTAGTTCAGTGAGAAATAGGTTGAAAATTATTTTACTTAACAGAAAGAGCTAATTATTTTATATCGATATATTTATAGAGGTTTGTACTCGGAAAATATTTACATCATCAAATAATTAGGGAATTTTTAATAAACTAAAAGTTATTTTATATCTTCAGAAGAAAGGAAGCATATTAAATATTAACGACTATTTTAATTTATTGTGACTCATTTATACATTTAGAGCTGTTATTCTATTTAATTTTAATTTTAATAACAAATTTTTAACACCGATTTATATAATTTAAGGGTAAACTGAATGGTAAAGCTTCATGATTTTTAAAATATTCTTTGACTTTTCGATTTCCGCCTTCAGAAAGATTATTATCAACAAGGCAAACCCAAAAGAAGAAAATAAAAAATTTCTAATTCAGTAAGAGGAGTCCTAAAGTTCAGTAAGATGAAATCTAAAGTATCATTCTTTACGTTTGGAAATAGTCATTATTTTGACAAATAAATCGTTTCTGGTTTAAACAGTGTTTAGTAAGAAACAAAAATTCAGCGGTTTTTAATACGTAAGAAGCGGGGTTGTGAAGTTCGATTTCGGGATACTTATTCTACTGAACCATTAGAAAATAATGTTTTATAATTAACCGTAACAATGACTGAATTCCACAGGATAATATTCTGGAGTTTAAAGGTACATTAAAGAATGTTTAACAAAGTAAATATTAGTGCAGAGTGTAATGGAGGAGACCTGTAATTAAATATTTGGCTATCGGTACTTCCCAAATTAGAAGCAACGGAATGCAGTTTTGTGATCTTTGGTAGGACATATTGTCTAACAGAATTCGCAGCACGCGGAACTGGAGATTTCCGTAAATGAATCTGAAGTAACCTAAGGGCCCTTTAATATAGGAGTTTGGAGGTTTTATTAACATATGCAGTTTTTAATGACAATGAGATTATTCCTGAATTAAGTTAATAATAATTTAAAGATTTCCTGTGAAGACTCTCGAATAGAATTTAGTAACTAAATAATATGGAATTAAAATTTATATTAAAAAAAGTTTGGTTTCCTACGATTTTAAACATTTTCTGAAATTTAAAAGCTTTTTCTGCAACAGCAAATTTGGGAATTACGCAAAACATTGAAATGCCGTTATATATTTTTGGATCTTTTTTGTAGGAAAAAAGTTAAAAAGAACTTACTTCAACTTTATAAAATTGCACTGGTTCGAATGCTAATTAGTTTGTAGGGTTTATATTTATTTTAACTAACATTTATTTTAAGTTATCTTTTCTGAAAGCCTTTACTTTCCCCTAGATTTGCTAATGCTAGAGTATAGTATGTAAACTGTAGTAGAGCGCGCAGTATATTCAAATTTAGCGGAAGTAAGTTGAGTTTAAATGGAAGGGAAACGAGAATGTACGTGTGCTTCTTGAATCGCGAACGTGACTGTTGCTATGTAGAAATCTAAAAACCGCGCGTGTCGGCCTGTGTGCCTATCTCGGCAGATTTTGCTGGATCTCTCAACTGCTTAATTAGTAAGCTCGCTGAATCTCAGCGGTATTTTAGAACGCAGTTAGGTTAGTTTAAGATCTCAGAGCCTCGTGGATAGTGATCTCGCAATTTATTCATCCAGTCATCATTTTTCAGTTTTACATTCTGTTTCAGTTAAACCCCCGGGTCGGCGTAGTTTGTGAGCGTCAAGTGGACGCAGCTGTTATTTTAAAAGTTGAATAAAAAGGGCTTTAAACCCTTCTTACGTGTATGTGTAAATTCACACTTAGTAGCAGTCACTACCACAGTTGCTGACAAGTTGGAGCCCCACGATATTACAAATTCTTTATGTTGAATTTTACTTTAAAAGCAAATAAATTCTCAAAACGTTTCAATTAAAATAAAGCAAAATTTTTAAAAAGGCTGAAAATTTTCAGATTCTATATTACAGCCAGAAGGGTATTTCTCTAAAGATTTGTGTGTTACATTTACTTATTAAATATCATTTTTTTTGCAGTGTAAACCATAAAACTAAACTTAACAGCAATATCACAAAATAATTTAAAAAGAGCATAAATTTAGAATTTCCGATACACAATCTGGCTCGTTGGAGATAAAAATGTTTTTTTTTCCCATATAGTGTTGCCACTTCTCGCTTTGAAATCGTTGAGTTTGTTAACCAAAAAAAGTTTTACAAAATATTAAATAGATAATGAAACAAACTCCAAATTCCACATTTGGGCTTGAGATGCCATATTCGAGTGGTGGACTGCGTTATGCAAACTTTCATGTCTCTAGGTACCGTTGGTTTTTCACAGTGCGAGAAATACACACACATTCATGCAGATTCTTTATTACTTAATTTCTTTAAATATAATTCAGGGCTCTAATATTTGGTGGCAACAATTTGAAAAGTGAAACGCCGTTTATAGTGAACCAACGCAAAATGCAAAAAGAAAAGCCCTTCTGGGCAAATTTTCTCTTTGGGCTACAAATATTAATATATTTTGCCGAGAGAAATAAATCAGTGATTTTCAATCGGTGGGATGGAAAACAATGAATGGCGAAAAATAATTGAGCAAGCTAATTGATAGACAATGTAAGTAAACAATTATATCGCAAATAAATAACATTTATTATTTTCCATGTGAGTGCGCTATATTTACAGTTAATAGAGACTGATGAGTACGTTATGATGTTATAATTAGTATTCGTACTTTATAACTATAGTTAATAGTTTTGACATAAATATACTATAATTAAGCTGATTTTAAATAAAAAGGAGTATATACTTTTCATTCCTTCGTTCAATTTTTCTTCAATTAAATGTAATTGAACTCAACAGAATTTGTTGGAAAAATTCCATTGCAAATTGTGGTAGAAAAAGTAAAGTAATTTATAAATTAAAAAAATAGAAAATAATTAGCCGTACGTGCTGTTTACACGTATGCAGATGAATTCAAGCACGGATTATAAATGACTTACATAAATTATTGGGGTACAGTGCTTCGACGAATCTGTCACTATTGATTGTGAATAAAAGCCATCTTATCCTCGAACTTCGTAATGTAATTACTTATCTAATAAAAATTTACTGGAAAGCAAATATTGGGTTATTTAATTTAGGCAACGTACGCGAAGGCTGAATGCCTAATTTCCGTTTTAGCTCAGATGAAGAGAACTCCAGGGAAAAGAATTCCTTGTATCGTCCTTTAGTGCCAGCTGAGTCTTCATAGTAATTTTGGTTACAACTGTCCATATTTTATTTAGGACCTAAACCCAGAATTACCATGTTTGCAGTTAGCCTTTTATCTGCCATAATAAAGGAAGCGCTGGCTGATCAAAAGCACGTAAATGTACATTCTATATCACATTTTGTATTACTTTAACACTTCATCACGCTTTTGATTTTAATTTATTTGTTTCCTTGAAACAGAAAACTTACACGTTTGCGAATTTCACCTTTTGCGATAATTCGAAATAAAATTCCGAACGAAATTGAAAGTAACTTTTAGCTGACATCATAATATCTTTGCATTGCACTTACATAAAATATTTTCTAGATTCATAACAATAAAAAAATCATATGTGGACACCACATGATTTACGTGTACGCATATTAAATTATGCACATTTTGTGCTGCACTTGATTTAAACGTATTTCCTCGAATTGTTCTAACTTAATTAACCGTTTCCTCAAGGCAAGTTGATAATGACATAAAAAATTATAAATTTTGAAATTAATTATACCGGTCAATTTTTATCATACGGGAGTCAAACTTTTGTATTTTTCTATGACGAGCATAAACCTATCTTAATATAAATATGGGAACCGAGAGACCGAATTAAAATTAGATTTTGTTCTTTGTTCAAAATTAATTTTTTAAAATTTAAAATTGTCAAAACGCGAATATTTTCGCCAGATGTACTTATATACTTTTGGTACCACCGATTTCATTAAAAGAGATATGTGCACAACTAAATGTTATAGCCGTTAGGTATACGAAATTTCAACGTTCAACGTCTAATCGTCTTTAAATTATGCGAGACACATACGTACCTCAAGACATCACAAAAAAGGTCCATTCTGAATCCATTTCGGAATCCGCTTTAGAAAACTGAATATTTTATTATGTGCGTACGCACAGACTTCAATAAGAAAAATAATCAAAATGGATTCAGAAACGCAAAAATACATTATTTGCAAAATGCATTTTCTTTGAAATCTGATAACCGAAATTTTTCGCGATTACTTTATTTCCATTACCTCATACAAGGTAATAAAGGTTATAAAACCTCAGATCACCAACCCGGTTGAACCATATTTTATATGTAAACATGTTTTTAAGACCAAATATCAAATGATTACGCAGCTAAAGCAAAAGGAAATCACGGACTGAAAATATTACGTCAAAGTTCACAGGTAACGAGAAGTGTGACCCTGTAGACTGTAAGGAAGTTCTGATATTAGAATTTCGCTCATAAAAACACATGAAAAGATTTTTATCATTAATCCAAAACATTAAAATAATGCCGATGTGTCGCCTAGCAGGTATAATTGAGGAATGCCACTATGCAGAAATGTTAGACAGGCGTTTCATCAAGACTCGAGCGAACAAATCGGATGGCCAGGAAAATGATACAGCATCGTGATTGAGAGTTTGTAAGAAACGCACCAACTGCCCAATCACATTATTCTCTAGCACACATATAATGTCTTATACAAGAATAAATGTG